TCACAGTGACCCTCCTGCCTCAGCCCCTCAAGTGCTGGGATTATAAACATGGACCACATCACCTGCCTGGCTATCCTTTGACCTTTCATTTTAACAAAAGGTTTCACTAAATTTGAGCTCATACTTGCTATTTTCCTGGTCATTGAGCCTCTTTAGTCATTGAAATTACAAGCATCCACTACCATACACAGCTGTATCACAGGTTTCAAGAGATCAAAAAAGTATATTTTTAAAAAGCCATGTGTCACTAAGGATGTACTATCACAAAACATTAAGCTTCATTTAATCTTAGCTACTGCTTCTCTAGGGCTGGGGATACAGCTCAGTGGCACAGCACCTGCCTGGCAAGTGCAAGGTCATGAGTTCAATTCCCGTTACCAAAAAACAGCTACTGCTCCCCTAGCCAAGCTTCAAAGACAAGTATCATTTGGAAAATAAAATTACAGAGCTAATATAATGAGCTACATCCTGTGGAGAGTTATTTTGGGAGATGCCTACAAAAAGAGAGCTGCATGCTGCCTACTCAGCGCCTGGTCAGGCCGCCGCAGAGGCCTCTCCTCCAGAGACCGCATTTTCTGAGAGAGAAGTCAGGCCTAACGGTGCCTGCGCAGCTGAGCCCCACTCCCTGCTCATTCCGCCTCCACCACCAGGCCTCTCTGTTGGGGTCCCTCTGTGTCAGGGTCCCCTCTGTGTCAGGGTCTCTCTGTGTCAGGGTCCCTCTGTCAGGGTCCCTCTGTGTCAAGGTCCTTCTCTGTCAGGGTCCCTCTCTGTCAGTGGGTCCCTGTGTTGCTCACTGATGTCTGTTCCCAATTCTGGAAATGCATGTCCACAGTGACTTCAGCTCATACATTTGTAGCTGAAACCAAAAGCTCCGCTCTGCTAGAGCCGCCTCTGCTCCAGGCCTCGACAAAAGCCTGCAGGTCACTCTGAAGGAATACAGAACAAAGGCTGAGTTATGTAGGGTATGGTGGGCCTTTGGATTAAAAAAAAATATTAATAATTCCATGTATAATACACAAAGGTGATTTTTAAAGTTGAATGATGAAATATGACTATTTCTTCATAAAAAGTCATTTCCTTTGCATAGGCTTTACATGAACATTTTATATAAAAATGAAGACATTGGAGACAGGATATGTCAGCGCTTAACAAGACTGTCACCAAGAATCAGTCTAAAGCAATTTGCACTCACAGACAACCAATCAAGCAGCTAATGACTGAGAAAGTCCCCTAGTTAATTTGTCAGTTGAAAACTGATTTCAAGCACTGTGTAATACATTACAAGCATCCTACTTAAGAATCACCTAAATTACATGAAATGATTGCTGTGTTCAAATCCTCTTGCTCTCGTAAATAGCTACTGCCTGTGAAAAAGGGTATTCCTGCCATTGCTTACTCATGATCTAGTGATGCGGCTGAGAAGCAGGCAGAGAAAGATCAACAGATGGCCAGCCTGCTTGGCTTCCTCAGAAAGCTCTACCATAGTTGGAGAGGATGTTACTGCCATTGGTCATCGATTCACTCAAGAGTACAGAGATGGAAAACTTGTCCCATGAGTAACTGATTCAACTGAATATTCTTACTAAACTCAAAGTGGAATAGAGTCAAGAGTGCAAGTTATCCATAGGAACAGTTCTAGGAAGTTAAAAGTTATGATACTAAATATTCCCAAGGGGACTTTAAAGTAGCCCAGAGAACAGCAAAGGGTCTCTTAAGGACCTCCTGAGGATACCATATGCATCATGATTAGGAAGTACATCAGTTTTTTCCCCCTGGAAATGGGAATATCCTTACTGCTTAAAAGCCCTGAAGCTTTGCTGTCTGGATATACAAATACTGGATCTTGACTCTCCTCCAATTCCTGGTACTAGGAGCAAAGCATAAAAGGAAAGATAGTGTTATGGTTTGTGTCTAGATGTCCCCCCAAAGCCTCATGCAGTCATGGGGCAGGATTCTAGAATTTATGATTGATTCACTGTCCAATGCTGGGATTTTGGGTGTAAGTGGCACACCTGCCCTGGGGTGTGGAGCCTGCATACAGTATAAGGGAGGGACAGAAGTTTGCTCTCTGTTGCATCTCCCTTTTGTGCTCTTGCTGCTTTTGCTGTCTTCTGCTGCCATGAACTGTTGCCCTCTGCCATGTGCCACTCTGCCTTGGAGCCAGCCATGTATGGACTGAAACCTGCACAAACTGGGAGCTAAATAAACATTTTCCTCTGTAATTTGGGTGTTAGGTATTTTGTCTGAGCAATGAGAGAAAATAACCAAGACAGACACAGGCAAACAATGGGGGGAAAAATAGGCAATATAATTAGACATAAAATAATCTTTGTATTCACAACATGAAAATAGAAAACATAGCCATGGGAATGACAAATACTAACAACTATATATTTAGTTGTAGATTCTGAATTCAGAATATTCTATAAAAAGGCATTTTCTTAATGTACCACTTTTCAGGGGAAGTGATCTGAGAGATTTGATCAGATAATAATTAACCTTCTAACCTTCCAGAAAAGTAATTTGGGAGGGACTTACAGAATATTTACTCCAGTATCTTCTCTTGAAAAATGAAAAAAAAAAAAAATACTAAGGCCAAAACATTAAGGTGCTCCCTGGAATGTTACAAGTTAAACTAGAGGACAGCTAAAACTAAAAGACAGTCCTTGACTCTTCATTCAGTGACATTTTGGCTATGTTGTACCTGAGACGAGTGACTTGGGACACAGCCTGAAATCTTAAAGCAAGTTATTCTGTCTTCAAAGCTACCTTCAAGCTTCTCTAAGAAGAGTTTCTTGGGGTGAAATTGGGAAATGGAATATGTCGCTTCATGGCATTTTATTCTAAGTGGTCCCTTTCCCCTTGCAGAGATTTGTCGTGTAGTAGGCATGCACTGCTGCCCCCTACCCGCTGTGGTTACTCAGGGACTCTCAAGCTAACTTCTTATCCTGAAGTTCCCCCTTGGGCATTGCTAGCTCACAACCGCACTGTGTTAAATTTAGCTGTCCTGCACTCTACTCTCTCAGTCTTAGCAAACAATTGGCATAAAATTCTGATAAATTTATCCTACATATGCAGAAGCTTTCTTAAGTGTCCCCATTTCCGCCTCTGATTAAGTGGCCTGTTTATTCCTCCTTGTACCCTTGGCATGCTGAGTACTAGCCGCCAGCCTCCTGACACATGTGAGCACTACATGATGTGTGTTCTTGCAATATGGTGTGTGCCAGTTACTTCATGGGTGTGTGCACAAGCTAATTTTTGATAGCAGATTTGAAGGAGCTGTTGATTCTTATATAGTCCTTTTGATTCCATAGTAGTAGTCTTAAAAGAATCATGAATACAAAATGAAACAGCTAATTTTTAAAACATTATTTCTTTCCCTTCATATTGGCCAATAGCTACCACAAGGTAAGATACTAGCCATTTAAAATTTGACAACTTTGGGATGAAATCAATGAAGTGAGATGGAAGGAAATAATAAGGGAATGGAAACCACTAGAAGAAATGTACACTTGCTGACCATTCATTGGCTTACTAAACAGATTTGCTGTTTGGTACTATGGGTATTTATATCTCCCTGTTTTTTGGCATTCTTTCTAATTCTTATTTTTTCTTTTATATATTTGGCACAAAAATATTTGAATTCCAAGTATTTTAATGTGTTGAATTACTTCCAACAACTTAATTTTTTCTTTAAAGTGATTAAAAGGTTTTATTTTCTCTCCATGTCAAGTTTTTGGATTTGATGAAGAAGAAAAGCTCTTTTATTTCTCGGGGAAATATTTTCTTGCAAGTCAGGAAAAAAGCCTATTATTGTGAGAAAGAGTCAAGTTTTTATTTCAGTACTACCACATTGATTATGTTTCTCATTCTGTCTAACTGAATACAATACAAATTAATCCTCATCTTGGGATTATTGACTTGACAGATTAGAAGAAAACATAAAAGCAGTCTCCAGAGGAGATATAACTTCTTAACATGCTGACTGATAATCATTTAAATTCCAGGCCAACTACTCATTAGCAAAGCAATACATTCCACTACTCAACTACTCAGTGGCAAACACAAACCCAGTACTACCTTACTCAGATTTTAAGAAATCCTTCTCCTCTCCCTCAAGATGCATTTAAAAATAAATATTCTCAATAATATTTGTATATTTACAGAAGAGTTACAAAGTTTACACAGAGAGGTCCCTTCTAGCCCGCATCAAATCTCTCCTACTGTCAATATCTTACATAACTATAGGGCTTTTGTCACCACTAATAAGCCAGTGCTGACACATGATTTTTTTTTAAAGTATTGAGTTTTTAATACGTATTGAGTCTATACATTATTCAGGTTCCCCTAGGTTTAACCTAATGCCTTTTCTCCTGTTCTAGGATCTTATCAAGAATACGTAATTACATTTAGTTGGCAAGTCTCTTAGCCTCCTCTCGAGCATGACAGTGCCTCCGATTTTCATTTCTCAAACTATCATCCTGACAATATTGAGTAGCGTCTGCTAGCAATTATGTAGAATATCCCTTCATTTGAGTTGTCTTTTACTTTTCTCATAATTAAAACTGAGTTATAAAAAGGGGAAGAGGGCAGATGTAAACTTACATCCTCATCTCATCATAGGAAGGATGCATGCTAACAATACAAATGGTCACTGATGCTGCTACTCTCGGTCACTGCATTGAGATAAGGTTTTTCGAGGGACTCCACTGTAAAGTTATTCTTCTTCTCCACCCCATACGGAAGGAGGCCATTATACACAGCCCACATTTAAAGGGTGGAAGTTTTCTCTACTTCATCCAGAGGGGGTACCTCTATATAGGTTTGTCCATTCTCATCATATGAAATAGTAGACATTTATTTACATTCTGGGTTATAAACCAGTGTTAAGCCATCTATTTTGTTTCTCAAGCTATTCTAGTTTTGGCCTTGGGAGCTCCATCAGTTGGCTCCTACGTCCCTTTAATATACCTTGAACACCAATTTTTTTCAAGATTTACTCTCTGCTACCACAGGTACTCCGGGTGCATCTTGCATATTCCACACCCAGCCCTGCAATCAACCGTTTCTCCATGGAGTTCCGTTTCTCTTTCTAAAAGCATAGAATTTAAAACCAAACCCTGGGTGCTAGACATGCTCAGTGTCACTGGGGTGTCACTGTTTCTAAACACTCCTAACTGACAGAGAAAGGAAATACCTATATACGCATATGTAATATCTTGTATATTTAAACAAAGCTAAAGGAATTTCCACATGTATTTATATATATTTATACTAAGCTAAGCATGAGTTCATACTGATACCCACAATTTGAATCCATTATTGCATAGATCACTATAACTTACCTCTTGTTTATTTGTAATTCAGCTACCTTCTCTGTCATCTGTTGATTTATTTATTTATTCTAAAATATTAGTGATTTCAGAAATATTAATCTATACTCCCATGGAAAAGAACTTTAACAAGTAGAATAGAATATGGTTCTTATGAATGGTTCCTTTTGCTTTTAGTCATACAATCTCCACCCATGTCCAAAGTTAATTAGATTAATATTTTCCCTCCCTGTCTTCCTCAGTAAGATTATTTCACACATTATATCTTTTTAATATTCTGCATCCCATTCTGTATCCATTGATCTATTTCTGTCTTAAAATATGTATAAATTAAAAATTCACTCTGTGTTATAAAGTTATGTCAGTGGACTCAGAGTATGTAGACTTGTCAGATTGGCTACCTTCGTATAGCAATATGCATTTCATGCTGGTGTATGCTTTTCTGTGCTGTGATTGTGACTGTGAACTTGGTTGGCTTGTAAGATTATGCCTACAAGACTAAGTAAAGAACATTTCTGAGTGTGTTTGGTTGGGCCCTGAGGGCATGGCCTTAGGGAATACATCTGGTGTCTGATCCTATTATGGTTCAGGTCCAAAATGGCCCTGGAAACCTCATGCATTTGGAAGGTTTTTGGATCATGGGGGCATTATACCCGACTTGCTATTAGGAAATGGGGCCTGATCGGAGATGGGTCACTGGGGGCGTGACTTGAAAAGGTGTATTATTGTCCCTGGCTCTTTTCTCTGTGCTTCCTGGTTGCCATAGGTGAAGAACCTTTTCCTCTGCCATGCCCCTTTGCCATCCTATTCCTGCCTTGGAGCCAGCCAACCACTGACTGAAACCACGAGATGAAATAAACCTTCTTTAAGTTGTGAACATCAAGTATTTTGTCTCAGCGATGTGAAAGTAACCAAGACAAATCCCTTATACTCTGGCTCTTCCCCTTGTGTTCTCCTTGTAAGACAGCATGACTTGAGATTTTCTCTGCCAGGTCCTTGCACCACGATGGCCAGCCAGTCAGGAACTAAAACCTCTGAAACAGTCAAAATAAACTTTCCTAAGCTGTATATTTTGGATATTTTGTCTCAGCAATGAAAGGTGACCGATACAGTGGCTTAATAACTTCAGTAAATCACTACTAGTACCCCATTGCACGGACATACCAAGGTTTATTCCTCTGTTGAAGAACATCTTGAGTGCTTCCCCTCTCAGTTTAAATTCACCAGTTCAAAAGATCTGGCCCATGGTTGGTGACTCCAAAGCAGGAACAATGTGGCAGAACTGCTGCTTTCTCCACGGCAGCTAGGAAGCAGAGAGGAGGAGGTTAGAAGTACAATATACCCTTCCAGGTCATCTTTCAGTGACCTGCCTCCACCAACTAGGCCTGATCTCCAAACACATGAGGCTTTGCGGGGGGAGGGGGGGTGCATTTTAGATCTAAACCCTAACAGACAGGTAAATATTTAAGAGTATAACTGTAAGATCGCATAGTAAGACTATATGTGGCTTTATAAAAGCCTACAGCCTCGTGCTGCGAAGCGGCGGTAACATTCTGCATTCTCCCCAGGAGTGAATGGCAGCGTCTGTTCTCTTCACACTTGCCAGCAAGCGTCTCTGCAGTGTACTTGTTTGTTTGTTTGTTTGGATTTTCGGCATTGCAGTCAGTGTGCAGTGGTAACTCATTTTTGTTTTAAGCACTATTCCAGGCCCCGTCTCGCTATAGATTTATATTGTCGAAATAGATTTAGGTCTTATAAAATGTATATACGTTTAATGCAGTGTTTCTGATTTTACATATAAAAAAAAATCTATGGTTTATCTTAGAGCAGGTGATGCCCAAGAACCAAATAGAACAAAGGAAATGTGACTCTCAAGGACTGACATAGAACAGCATGTTTTTTACTTCCCTTATGAAGTTGTCAATTTGGAATATGTTTGGTTTAGAAAATGAAATCCGTTATTTCTGTCAAAGAAGCAAATAGGGTTGTTTATCGCATGTAACAAAGAGTGTAGAGGGGCGTTGATGCAAATTTTCAGAAGTGTTGTTAGAGACACAGAATCACTCATCTTATGACTCTACCCCAGGGTTTCACCCCATGGCTAACAGACTATTTCTCTTATAGACCAGATGAGATGTCCATATTCAGTGCAGAAGGTAGATGAGGTCGGTACACATTTGAGGAATAGCTGACTTTTACTAGGTCTTCATTGTTAGAAGTGGACTACATACCCCCCAGAGCTATTTAGGAAGCTAGTAAAGTCATTACTTAGCTGGATGATATTGCAACTGGAACGAAAGAGGACTTTGATTAGTAAAGTAAAACTCCAATAAGGCAACTAAATTTTTTGAGAGGATAGAAAATATTAATAAATACCTGGAAATACTCTCCTATCGTAGCAGTTTTAATAATCACTGTCATTTTTGAGCAATCTTAGTCAGACCAAGATATTTTTGCTAAGTTGGAAGAAACATAGCATAGGATTTTAGCAATATAATGTTTTACACGGGGAAACAAAGTGGGATTCAAAGCTAGAATAACAGATTTCAAGATTAGGGACTGGTTTTCACTGGTTTACTAAATTATATCACCTGCATGTCTCTTCTTCAAAAAATATTTGTCTGTTGGCGGTAACATTTTCTATTGCTTCACATGCCAAGTAATTTAAAATTTTAACTTGGACATTGTAAATGAGTCAATGAAAGAGCTCTAAATTCTGTTACATACTCCTAAAATGACCAAGTTTTGTTTAATTGTTGGTTTAATCAAGTATTTGTCTAATCTCAATCTGCAAATTCTGTCTACATTGCAATAGTCATCAACTGAAATTTTAGTTCAGGTCATTTACTTCAAGCTAATGGGACCATCAACATTTTAGATAAAGCTGGTGAGTTAGTTTGGGGTCATCTGTCCATCTGAAAATGAATGAAATAGGATTCTGAACAGAACCCAGAAGAAATTTTACCAGGAGCTCCTTAAAGGTCTTATCATGCTTTGCCAAGATGTGTTATAGAGGCATCTTGACCCTCCAAGTTAGAGACTGAAATCCATGCAACAAAAAATCAGAATGTGGACAGTCTCCTAAGTATTTTCAAACTTCAAAATTCCATCATTGTTCGTCAACAGCTTATTAGGAATGTTGCTCCTATTCAATTTTGCAGACTATACAAGGCTTTCATCCCAGTTTAAGTAATTCTCCCTCCTTTATTGATCCTGCTCGAAGTTTTTCATTGCAGGATGTTGTTCTTGGGAACCTAATTCCCAAAGCAGTTTTTCCCAAGTCTCTGTTTTGCCAACCCTGAAATAGAATGCAAATATTCTGGCAGGCAGCTAGCAATCTGGATTTTCCAGACCAGCATTTGTCAACATGTGATTCATGTACTGTCAGGCTCAGAATCCCTAGGTATTGTTTAAAATAAAGACTGCTGGACCTTAGGCACATGATGGCATACAGACCTTTCCTAAGGGTGGTGAAGGACAGAAGCTTGTATCTCTGAAGAAGGCAACAAGCTATTTTGATAACAGACAGGCTCACATTATATATAATCACTATAGGATCTTTTGATTGTATGAACATGCTCTCTCAAATATATTTTTAGAAGAATTTCAGGTTCAGATCATGCTAACCTGAAGAAAAGCCCCACCTTCAAAATGTAATAAGGCAGGTATTGAAACCTCTCCATAACCAGTAAATGTTCTGCTTCACTACATGATTATGTTGGCAGTCCTTGTTAAAATGAAATTTGAATAATTTCTGAAATTTTAAAAAGAACATTATGACAAGTCTGTAGATATCATTCATTTAGCATACAACAGTCAGTCACTCAGAAGTGGGCATTGTTCTTGGCAAGGGAAATGCAATAATGAACAGGACAGATAATACTCTGGTGTATATTTTAGTAAAGAGACAAATGCATGCATACATATACATACATGCATATGTACGTATATACATACATATTACTGCTGAGGAATAAACTAAAAACAGGATGGTGATCTACACTATGAATAAGCTAGGGGTAAGGGAGATGAGTTTAGATAAATATTGAAAGAATGACCATCTCAGAGGAACAGGTTAGTCAAACATTTACAGAAAAATAATAGTAAGTGTATAAGCCTTAAAAAATGGAAAGGTAAGTGTAACAAAACCTTTGGTGACCTCAGGGAAGAGAACTGTGCATAGAGCTTTGTTAACCACCTAACAGTTTACCCAGCACACCACTTAGGCATCATGTTTATGTGTTTACACTGAGTGCCGCTTGGGCAAGCTGTCATTTCAAAGTCAATTCAGGTACTGAATATATTTGGTAAGGTGGTCGTTTTATATTTCCTGCTATATTCTCTTATAAAGATTAATTTTAAAATGTAATTTTTGGTCATCTTGCATTTAAATAATTGGGCTGACAAGTGGTTAATTAAGAATGTAGAGCATAAGGAGGACTGTATTATGTGCATAGTCATCTTGGAATTATCTAATAAGTTGCCCAGAGTTCATCTCATGAACATTTACACACTTTTTACCCCTGATTAAAGTCCAGGTGTTTCCATGTCTATAAAGCTAGATTTAATATGCAGAAAACTGATAAACTGATTTTTGGGTGGTAGAGCAGATAATCCCAAAGGCGATAGCCTTTATTTTTCAGTACTATTCAAATAGTATTGTGTTTGATTTAGCATGCTTTCTTTGCATTTATTTTTCTATTTCTCTTAAGTACATGTGTCATATCATTTTAAAACTAATTTTATTATTACACTTTCTCATTAATGAGTTAAATAAAAGTTTAATGCATGCTCACTCTATTTTTAAAAAAATATATTGGAAATTACAACTTTGTACTTGAAGGAACAGGCAACAGATGATGATATAGGGCCATGTAGGTCTTGGAACAATAGCCCAGACTAAATTTAGGAGAGAACAGAATGGAAGGAAGAGAGAGTGGAAGGAAGATTGGTGGAAGCAGGGAGACTGCTGAACGCCAGCATCCGTAAGCTGTCCACAAGATGAGGTGAGGTGGGGGAAGAAGTTGTAGGTGGCAACAAAAAGTAATAAACAAATAAACATAAAGTTGACAAAATGTTAAGCAGCTAGTTAGTAGGACTTGAACTGGTTATGATGGTAGATAAGTTCTGATATGTGGATAGTGGGTAAAAGGAGAAACTGCAAGAAAAATTCAATTAGATCATGGATATTTCAAAAGGAAGCTCAGAATATGTGATTATTTTGGAGGACATAAAACAATATACATTTATAAATGTGAGAAATAAAGCTCTTGTTTTCCATCTTTTAAATCTTATATGAAATAGGTGCCCAGATAGGTTACTATAATAAAATAAAAACTAATGTTATGAATAAAACTGAATACTTATTAAAGTCCAATCTTAAAGTTTAAAAAGTAGACTACATTACTGTTAAATGCACGGGCAAAGACAGTTAGGGCTCTGGTGAATATGTAATAGAAAGCTCTTCATAGGCTGGGAAGAAGTCTAGACAAGATAGAAATCTATTTTACTAAATAAATTTAGGAAATGTATGAATATGCAACTCTTGGCATTTGCTTTTGTCTTTTCAGAAATAAATTTAGTGAAGAAAATGTGGAATTTTCAATTTTCTTATCAAACTACTAGGAAATTCTATTTTATAAATTTCATTTCACCTCCACATCACCATCCCACAAGTCATTTACCCTTGAGTTGAGCTGCAGTATAATCAAGTGATTGTCTTTTGTACTCACTTTTTCTAAGCACCCAATTGATCAGTTTGGTTTGTTTTTTTTTTTTTTTTTTCCATTCTACTGCCTTAGCTTTGTACTGGTACATTTCCTGACAGCAAAGCCGCAGATTGTTAAGAGTGATTACTATACATACCACATTTTAGCCATAACAGAGCGAATTTGCTCTTATCAATAAATTAAATTTTGTCTTTAAAAACACGCAGGCCCTCAAATGCCTTGAATATGACTTACAAATGAGAAATCCTTATTCAGATTTAACTCCCATATGTTATATGTCAAAGTTAAAATAAGTAATTGAAAATTGCAGAAACAGAATAAAGATATTCTGTCATTTTGTTACATGTAGTGTGGAAAGCATGAAAGAAAAAAAGCTCATATATCAACAATATCACTGTTGTATAGTTATTGAACTTCCATAAGCAGGAGTCCCAGGTGATTACTCAGTGCTGAAGGTCAGGACTTATTACATAAAGTATCCATCAGAAATGAAGGATAAGCAGCTTCTGTGTGATTAATAGGTACAGGAGCACAAAACAAAGGAGATTAAGAAAGCCAATGGGTTGCACTTAGAGGAAAGCTCAACTCCCAACAAGGCAAAGTGCTCATTCAGTCAGAAATCTATTAAGCTGCTTGGGCAAATACATGTTCCAGGTGAAAACCTACCACTGCATTGCACAGGACAACACAATTAAGAAATTCATTCATGGAGCTCAATGAAAAAAATTTGCTTGAGATAAAAAATTGTTATTTCTTAAAAGGCACCATATTCAGATAGTGTTGTAATCAAGAGATGAGACACTACTTCATCTAGAATACCCCCTTGAGTTCAAGTGAAAAATTATACTGAAGATCCTACAGATTCAGTTAAGAAAAAACAGTATAAAAATGCTAATACAAGAACCTACATGCAAGTCCACTTATTAAGTCATTCTCTTCTTGTGTATATATGTGTGCCTGACTACATGTTTTTGAGTGGTTAGATTTAGCAAGTAAACATAAACATCCAGTTAAATTTGAATTTTGGATGGACAATAGAATTTTTAAATATGTCTAAAATTTATTTATTATTTGAAAGTCAAATTTAGCTCGGTTACCTGTATTTTGCCTAGCAATTTGTATATGTCCTGTGTATTCTTATTTTCTTATTATGGTTACTATAATATGGTTACTATATGGTTACTATGGTTACTCTTTCTATAGTCAAAATAGCCATACTTCCAAAACCAATATATGGATTTAATGCAATGTTAATCAAAATACCAATGACCTTCCTTATAGAACTGAGTAAAGCCATTCTAAAGTTCATATGGAAGAGACCTAGAATAGCAAAAGCAATTCTAGGCAACAAGAGCAAGGCAGGGGCATCACAGTCCTAGACTTCAATTATACTACAAAGCTACAATGATAAAACCCACATGATACTGGGGGAAAAAGAAAAACAGAGAAACAAAAACTACAAGCAAACAAAAACCAGTATTACAGATCAATAGAGCAAAATAGAAGATTTAGAAAAAACCCCAGGCACACTCAGCAATGTTATCTTTGACAAAGCATCTAAATCTCTCTACTGAAGGAAAGATCACCTCTTAACAAATGGTGCAGGGAAAACTGGCTATCCACATGCCAAAGGTTGAACCTAGACCCATATCTCCAATGATGCACTAAACTAAAATAAAAATGTATCAAAGATCTAAACATTAGAAAAGACATGGCCATTATTTACTTGAATAATTTCATTGTGTATTTCAGGAAACAGATTCAAAGAGATTAAAGGTTTTGTGAAGATCCCACAGCCAGTTAACACCCAGCGATAGAACTAGAACATGGTTTTTCTAGCTCTTGGTTCTTTCTTTCACTAGTGTATATTTTCTTCCTTAAAACTGTTGATTTTTCAGTGAAAAATCTGGGTCAGAATGAGCACTTAATTTACATAGACATACCTGTTTTCAAATCATTTTGGTTTCTGCCTGTGGAATGCAAAAGAAAACACACACACAGAAGCCAGAAAGAGAGATTTAAGGCAACATTTTACATATAGATACCATTTGTATCTTGGGGCTGCCTAACATTTACCTTGCCTTTAAGTATTAGCCCCCAAACTTCTTTTAAGGAATGACTGCCCCACCTGAACAGGGTCTGTGGTGAGGCACTGATGTGGGTTCCCTTCTTAGGTAAGGAGTAGGCACATGGCCAACCTACACCAGGTGACAGGTTTCATTCCCCAGTCGTCTCCTCCTCTCAAATTTGAATTGGGAAGCAACGACAAAAAAGTACTTCTCCCCTACCTCAAAGATCAAAAAGGATTCAGATCACTTACTGCAGTGGAAGTGAGCGGAGAGAACGTTGGGAGAGTTCATACTTCCGAGTCCCATTGATTCTAATCATCCTCTTCTATTTGAAGAGCTCCCTCATGTTTTTGAAAAACTGTCTGTTTTGGTTAAAGAAAAAGAGTTGGTCTCTATTGCTTACTATCAAGGAACTATGACTGACGCACAACTCTTATGCATTTAAAAAATTTGAAGGGTAATACTGGCATGGTGAAATACTTTCATTTTATTTTTTTTTTTTTATTTTAGAGATAAAAGAATGAAAACATCTTAACAAACACACATACACTTAGAAAAGAACACAAAAACAATAAAAGCAGTACAGAATCTCAGACAAGGTGATAGGAAATTAACAATGGCTGTTGTGTTACATATTGATATCCTCAATTTGGATACTCAGGTAAACAAATATAGACATGTAAGATTGATCACATACTTAAACATAATACTTTTAGTCAAGGAAATCTATGGCTAAGAGAAAAATATTGATATACTAAAAGTTAGAATACTATCCATACCTTTCACTTCCTGTGGGTGTAAAATTGCTCTGAAATATAACTGTGCAAAATTAAGGATAAAACAAATTGCTTGTAAAGGTTGTGGTTAATAAACATCAAAAGATCTAAATATAAAAAGTAAAATGACCTAAAAGTAAAATGGATAAATATAGGAGAATATTGTTTTTACTTAGAAGTACCTGAGGATTTCTCAGAACATCACAAAAATGCATGAAACACAGAAAGAGGGGCTGGGGAAATAGCTCAGTAGCATAAGCACCTGCCTGGCAAGCTCAAGGTCATGAGTTCAATCCCCAGTACCGCAAAACAACATCAAAAAAAAATTTTAGTCGGGCATGGTGGTGGCGCAGGCCTGTAATCCCACCACTTGGGAGGCTGAAACAGGAGGATCATTGCAAGTTTGAGACCAGCTTGGGCTATAAAGTGAGCTCAAGTTCAGCCTGAGCTGCATAGTGGGACCCTGTTTCAAAAAGATCAAAAAAAAGAAAAAAACATAGAAAGAAAAGATGACAAACTGGGTATCATCAAAACTGCAAACATTGTTCATCACAGTCACAAGGAACTGAAAAGACAAGACACAGTCTGGGAGAAAAGATTTACAAGGAATATGTCTGACAAGAGGCTTGCAAACAAAACACATACACCACACAAACTCCCAATTCATCCAATAATAAGAATAAGTGACCAAAAGGTTTGAATAGATACTTCATCAAAGAAGATATGCAGTAATACATGAAAAGATAGAATTACTATTCAGTAAGAAAATGAAAATTAAAAACGCTATGAACAAATCCAAGTCAAGAGTAAACTAAGGTGTCATCACAACTAAATGTTATTCAAGTTTCTACATGAGATACTAGGACACAAAAAGGGAATTTGAGAAAAATAATAAAAATGAATAAAGCATGGATTTAATATGTCAATATTGATTCATTAATTACAATAAATATACTATACTGATGTAAGATGCTAATAATAGAGGAAACTAGGCACTGGCTATTTAGAAACTGTGTATAATCTTTTAACTTTTTGTAAATTGACAGCTGTCCTCAAAATAAAATAACACACACACACACACACACATGCACACACACACCATGTCTAAAACTAAAAGACTGACTATAATAAATGCAGGTGAAGATGTGAAAGAATTAGCACTCTCACACAATGCTATCAGAAATCTAAAACAGTATAAGAACTCTGTAAAATTGTTTGACAAAAGAAATCTTTTATTTAAAAATCCTTGTATCCATTTCCGATGAATATATTATATATATCAGAAACTCTTACAACCCAAGAAGACTAACAGCCCCTTGAAAGAGGCAGAAATGGGGCTGGGGATTTAGCTCAGCAGCAAAGCGCCTGCCTGGCAAGCGCAAGGTCGTGAGTTGGGTTCCCGGTACAGGAGAAAAAAACAAAACAAAACAAAACAAAAAAGAAATAGGCAGAAAATATGAATACACATTTTATCAGAGAAGGTATGTAAATGCCAATAAGCACATGAAAAAGAGAGTCAATATCATCACTCACCAGCAAAATACAAATTAAAAGCACAGTAAGTTACTGCTGTACAGCTAACATGGATAAATTGTAAAATACTAATGATACAAATTACTGGTGAGGGTGCAGATCATCTGGAACTCTCCTATGCTTTTGATGGAACTGTAAAATAGTACCATAGTACAGCCCTTTTGGAAAACAGCTTAGTTGTTTTGCATGAAGTTACATATACATTTACCATATGACTTGGGTTTTTTCTGGGTGCTCAACGAAGAGAAACAAAAGCATATGTCTATACAAAAAATTGTATGTCAGTGTTTATAACAGCTTTATTTAAACAGCAAGAGCCTGGAAATAACCCAAATGTCTATCAACATATGAATGGATAAATAAACTGTGGTATACTCATCCAGTGGTGTAGCTCTCAGCAAAAAAAAAGAACTACTGATATGCAAAAACATGAGTAAGTCTCAAGACCATTATGCTAAGTCAAAGAAGCTAGAAAAATGAAATTAAAATAATGAGAATAGAACTAAAATCAATTGAGATTCAATGAACATCAATTTGCTTACAGAAAGAGAAAAACCTACAATCACATGGAATCACCAAAAAACTTGAACAACCAAAACAATCTTGAACAGAAGAACAAAACTGGGAGCATCATACTTCCTGATTCCAAAATACCCCACCAGGTTATAGAAATCAAAATAACATGATATACAACTGTCATGAACACAGATTCATTGATCAATGGCAAAGGATAGAAATCCCAGGAAGAAAGCCACATATTTGCAGTTAATTGATCTTCAAAAACTGTGGGGAACATACATAGGGAAAAGACACATTCTTAAATAAATGATGAAAAAACTGATATCCCCAAGCAGAAAAATAAAATTAGATCCTTATTCTGTACCATATAGTAAATCAAATAAAAATGTACTAAAATCTAAATGTAAAATCTGAAATTATAAAGTTACAAGAGAAATACAGGGAGAAATCTGGACATTAGTCTTGGCAATGCTTTCTCTTTTCCTTTTCCTTCCCCTTCTCCTCCTTCCCCTTCTCCTCCCCTCCCTCTCCCTTTCCGCTTTCCCTTCCCCTTCCCCTTCTCCTTCTCCCTCTGCTTCTCCTTCTCCTCCTCCTCTTTCTCCTCTCTTGCTCTCTGTCTCTGTCTTTCTCTCTCTATCTCTTTCTGTCCCTCTCTCTTTCTCTGATATTGCCCCCAAAGCACCAATACATAGGAAACAAAAGCAAAAATAAACAAATAAATCGACCAATTCAGGACCTCTTCTGTCTCTCAGGAGCTACTTTTATTCTCCATTTCTATTCCCCATTCCTTTTCCCAATAAATTTTCCTGCTCTTAAAAAAATAGACAAATGATATGTCATCAAACTGAAAAGCTTCTCCACAGTAAAGGGAACAATAAAGTGACAACCTGCAAAATGGAGGAAAATATTTACGAATCATATTTCTCACAGAAATTAAGGAATGTGTAATCAACAATAGGCAAGCAACTCAGACAACTTGATGCCAAAAAATTGATAAAAATGAGCAAAGGGATTAAGTAAACATTTATTGAAAGAAGATACACAAATGGCCAAAATAACATGGAAAAAATTTTATACATCAGCAATCAGGAAGATACAAATGAAAACTACAATGAGGATACCTACTATCGAAGAGAAAAAATAAGTGTAGATGAGAATGTGGAGAAAAGCAAGTCCTTGTATGCTCAAGCAGAAATGTAAATTAGTACAGCAATTCTCTAAAACACTGTGGGGTTCCTCCAATCATTAAAAGTAAACTTCTATTTGAATCTGTAATTCTATTTCTGAATATGCATACAAAAGAAATGAAATCAGTACATCAAAAATACACCTTTATTGCAGGACTATTCATAATAGCCAAGGCGTGGTAATAGGTCAAATGTGTATCGATGAGTGAATGATAAAGAAAATGTGGTATAATACACAATGGAATACTGTTTGGCCTTTAAAAAGAAATTATATCATTTGTAACATGGATGAACCAGGTGGACATTAAGTTAAGGGAAATCAGCTAGGCACAAAACACCAATACTGCATTATCTTACTTATATGAGAAATCTTTGAGAAAGTAGATCTCATAGAAGCAGAGAATAGAATAATTGTCATCAGGGACAGAAGGTAGGGGAGAAAAGGGAGAAATAGGGAGACACTAGTTATAGAATGCAAGGTTTCAGTTAGAAAGGTTAAATAAGTTCTGAAAACCTATTTACAGCATGGGGACTAGAGTTAATGGTGACTACAGGAAATTGCTGAAAGATTTGATCTTGAATGCTCTTAACATCAAAAGTATGTGAGATGATGGATATGTTAATTACTTTATCTAATCATTTCATGCAGGTATTAAAACATGCTATTATATAACACAAATATATATGATTTTTATTTATCCAATATGCATTAGTAAAGCTAGGGCAAGTGTCTCAGTTTTATGAAGAAACAATATAGAAATGTAAAACAAATCAATACTTATCAGGGGCTAAAAGCTGAAGAGAGAAAAATTTACCTTAAAGGAGAATAAGTCAGTTTTTGTGGTGATGTAAAAATTACATATTTTAATTGTAATGGTAATCATACATTTAAAATAACTCACCAAGCCAGGAACAAAAAAGTGCATTTCATTGTGTGTAAAGAATACATCGAACTACTCAAAAAGAAATTGAAACAAATATTGAAAAAAGAACACAGTTGCAGTAGAGATATTTAAGAAGTTTGACATATTTTAGTGAAAACAAGAAAGCTTGCCAAGGTATTAAAATTGCAGGATTCTGAAAAATTAATGGTAATTTAAATGATAGAAGGAAGTGATAGTGTATGCAGAGAGTATGCCAAACATGTAGGGCAGCAAGCAAGAAATACACTACTGAGGAGTCAATCTAACAAAGTAAGTAAAAGATCTATACACTGAAAACTATAGTACTCTGAAAAATGAGATTAAGAAGATATCAGAAAAAAGAAAAATATCCCTTGTTCATGGATAGGAAGAACAAACATAGTGAAAATGGCCGTACTCCCAAAGTTGTTATACAGATTTAATG